CACCTGAGGACAGCGCGCGTCCACAGGTACGGTCCACCTGAGGACAGTGGAGGCCGAGTGACAGCAGGTAGTGCTTCGGTTGGAGGACAAACAGTTGAACTGAGCAGCAGACGCAACACTGAAACGTGTCCAGACACAACTTTAATGTGAGATGAAATGAACACACAGATGTGACTGAAGCAAAAGAAACCGCTCCACCCACCAGCTCCAGCAGCTCCAGCAGCTCCACCAGCTCCACACCACGACAGCAGACAGACAACAAACAAAGTGCACGTTACGTTTGACCAACATGCCCAGAAGTGACAGTAACTGAAAGAGGGTTAGAGGGACAGGGTGGAATGTTCCGGGCTCGTCCTGGTGACGGACGGCGCGCTGGACGCAGACGGACAGGACCGGGTCTCTGCGCAGGTCAGTTACACGTCCTTCTTTTTGACGATGAGAGGTCCAACGTTGTCCCCGGTGTCCTCGTTGTGCTTGGTGTGGGCACCATCACAGAAGGGAAACTGCAGGAGACACGGTTTTAAACTCAACTCGTAGGAAGAGACGGATCGGTCCGTTCGGTCCCTAACCTTTTTGGACTTCCAGCAGCGGCAGTACACAGCCTTGGTGCCGATGTCCTCCATGTCGAAGCTGTGGACAACCTTGGGGCTGTCTTTGCTCACGCATGTGTTCACCTGGCTCTCCTTGCAGCACCTGCTGCTCAGGTAACGGCTGACGAGGAACCCTCCGGCTGCTGCGAGGACCGCCACCGGCACCGCAACCACCAAATGTTCTGCAGGGATGCAAACACACGACAGGAAGCGGTTGAGCACCAGTAACCTTCTTACTGGTCCGTTCAGCTCGTTACTGGTTCAACTCTTCACTGACCATTACACCAGGAACAGTGAAACGGAAGCCTTGCTGGTCAGGACAAGATATTTCAAGAATGACCTAAAGGCAATAATCAATAATGAAATCAATCTGTGTAGGCTGAAGCTGCACTGTGGACCACGTGATGCTGTGCAGGACCCGAGGTCCTGCTCTCGGTCTGGATTAGCTGCTCCGTTTAATCTGAGATGGCCGACACCACCCGTGACCGCCTGCAGGTGCCGACACCACCCGTGAC